AGATTTAGTGAAGAGGTGCGTGAACGATACTAACTTTTCACCCACGAATACAGGATGTTAAAACGTGCCGCCTGGCCAGAATCTTGTCTCTTTACACTCCAAACGCCGGTACTAACTAAAAGCTCAGGCACGTTCCTCCGGCTTCCATCGGCTGCGTGACGTATCCTACGATGTCAATGATAACTGAGATGGCGATTTAGGTTCTAAAATGCAATACGATTTGGTGTTGATGGAACCTCACCTGAAATTCCAAACCGTAACTCCAAGCAGCAAATAGGGACTCGGTAGTGTTGAATTGCCTCTCATTAATCAATCCACAGTGACTAATGTGACTGCTTATGAACCAAATGCCAACGACCTGCAACGCTCATCCTAAAGAAAATTAATTATAATTTTCAGATACCGTGCCACTTTAGACTTATTCTGTCTTTATTCAGTCGAACATAATCTTGACTGATAGATGAAACCAGAAAGACGAACATTCATTTAGCAGAAAGCGAATTGAAGAGTCGAACCCGCCAGAGTTGTATTATTTAACAGTAGAAACATGAACGAAACATGTGTTTATGCTTTTACCTAGTATATGTTAGGAGTGTGGTGGAAACAGTCATTTATGCATCCAAGTACGGGAGTATCGAACAAAATAACGGAGAAGGGGACGGCTATTTCTAACTTATGAGCCAGCAAAATCCATGACCAGAGTTTCAAACTCTGATTATTTGGTCATTGAGCGTTAAACGCTCAACCCTGGAGTGTTTAGCCATCGGGTTATCCGCTAATATGCTTGTACACGGTTTGAGGAAAAAAATAATTACCGTTGAGCATTGATCAATCTGGAAATGGAGGGGGATTGTGATTTCTGCCAATTCCGATTCTTTCACTGTCCGGAAGTCCACCTTATGAACACAGGGCGCAGCAGGACAGAGACCGATATCGAAAGTGTCGACCACAGGTTGGTTGAAGTACTCTGCGATTGCAGCATTACGCAGTGCGCTAAGGTCCATTCCATGGAAACTCTAGAAGAATAGAAAATGTTTTCGTACAAAAGAATCCACGCTCAAGGTGCATACGACCGATGATGCATAAGTATATTGAGGAATCGGAAAACGACCGAACTCGCGCAGCAGTCTACCACAAAGTTTTCCTAAAAGTATTGTTAGACAAGGCGAAAATATGATGCGCTAGTACGTTAGGCAGTCGGCTTAAGAAACGGGAATGTGGAGTTGACTTCATTCGACATCTCACAATAAAATCTGACGAAAGCAAGAAAACCATGTTTGGGTAAAAAGATGTTGAAAGATGCCAATCGCAACCCGTTCAACTACATAAGACAACGTGGAGAAGAGAAAACAAGCTGGGTTCATCATCAATTTAGAAAATTCTTTTGGACACATCCTGTATGACTAACTATACTAACAGCACAAGTGCCACCTACAATTTGTCCAACATTTGTATACAACTCACTGATAGCTAACTTAAATTACGCGATTCTGTAGTAACTGATGGATTTTAGCCTCATTATTTATGCTGACTTTTTGGTCGCGCTGGAAAAACCTTTTTTCGGCGGATCGACATTAAGTTTGCGCATTAATTAAAATGACAACATCAAAACGGGAGTTTACATACCAGGACATACACCTAGAACGATTGAGGGCCCACTAATTAGTCAATCCCCTCACAGCCGCGCTACGCAGCGGAAAAATGACTAACGAAGCACGTAATTCCCAACTGTTACTTAATATATGTCCCGTTTGTATGGGAAATCATTCAGTATTTGTAAACTATTGACCGACTGTTAGCAGCTTGTGAATATTACGCGGCCACTTCGCAGTAACCGATGGATTTGAGTCAAAATATTTATGTCAACCCTCGGGCGGAGCTTGGGGCGCTAGTGTCCGATATACTCTAAGATTGCGTATAAATTGCTGAGGAAATTACAAAGGGCAGGAAAGAAATTTATCATACTGACCACCTGTGGGGTGGTGGACCCAAAAATTTGAAGAGAGCCCTGTGAAATAATTTTCTGCTTGTTGGCCCAGCCAAAGCATAGCTAGCGCAAATAGGACCGCTCGAAAAGTAAGTGGACATGAAATCTGCGCATAAATATTCAAATGTCAGTGTGCGCAAATGTAGCACTGGAAAGAAAGGCGTCAGCTTGTCAGGCTGGTTGAGTACACAAATTTAGATGCAGTAGCAAGGAATTAGGGTACGGCAGTTGGTGCCATCACAGTCAACCCATACAGCTACCTAGTGTCGGTTCCAAACAGAAGCGCTGAATGAGACAATTTTCGACCGACAGACGGAGTGACCGTTAGGGATACTTTTGTACTAAACAGGTCAAACGAGCTGCGTGGTTACCTAACTGGGTGTCCGGGATGACGGCCCAGTTGAGGTCTGAGCGGACGCTATAATCAGATTTTAAATTGCCGAAGAGTTTTTCCACGAACATAGGTGACAGGATTGGCACAAAATGATCATCCAAACAGCAGTTGGTCAGGCACAGTTGTGCTTGCATGACACACTGGAGCCTGACATTTAGTAAAGCAATTTGCAATAAACAGATTCTTAAGTCTATACCTGTATAAATGGTCTCCTTCTGCGGGATAGTTAGTACTATAACCAAAACGAACAAATTATCTAAATGGGTCTTCGTTTAAGCATAGTAGATACAGCATTAATGTAAAGTTGTTATGAGAGCACATATTCGATTGAGTTGTTGCAGACAATAGTATGCAGGTTAGCTTGTACAAGGATATTTTAATATTTTGAAAAAAATCACTTACTTGCTGGTACCAGAAGTTAGCTTTAGTGTGTTGCTCAGCAAACAGAGCTTCGTCGCTGAAAGGAGCCACAAACAACTGAGCCACAGACGGGAACATAACACCGGGCTTGGGCTCAGCCACTGTACTATCTTCATCATCCGTTTCGGATTTTCCCTCCTCTCGCATGATGGTGTCTTCACGAGAATCTGGTTGCTGGCCGTCCCCCTTGTTTCTGTTATGAGAACGCCGGTGCTGGGGAGCGAGGAACTTTCTTGCGTGGACGTATGACTCTAACATCCGTTCATTGTAAAGCATATAACCCATGGGTTCAGAAATAATCACATCTACGGGTTCTGGTAGAACGATGTCTTCTATTTTCCCACTAAAATAAAGAATACAGGTTCGGGGAAAGTGTAAGGGCTTCGAAATAGACGTAGGTGCACTAACCGAGGATGGCGTTCAGCTTTAAGACCCGAGTCTTAACGATGGAAACCTGACCGGTTCACAAGAAAAGATGGGGAATTCATGCAAGCAAAATCATGTAGAATTCAAGCTTGTTAAGATCACTACCTTATAACAACTATACGACCCGCCAATTTGTTCGACTGCACAAGAGTATTGCAGTGAGTGGCCATATTGGACGCTTCGACAGCATAGACACGTTTGGCGCCCGCCTGGATGGCGAAGAAGCTGGGAATTCCAGAACCGGCACCAACGTCGAGGACTACCTTTCCAGCAAAATCGACAGAGGCGTTTGCCAATATTGCCTTCTGGTATGTTGCGGTCCTGATGTAGTCCTAAAAGAGAAAAAATATTCAACAGTCAATGTTCGTACGTGCCAAGAAAGACAACGACAAATCATACAAAATCCATTCATAGAAATTTTTAAATTGTACTCTAGCAGGGGCCACAGAATCTACTGGCAGTTGGCATAGACTACATATCCCTTCAGACAAAAAAACAATGCAAACAGTTGCCCGTACTGATGTAATTAACGACAACTAAAGTCAACGTAATCAGTGAGACAGGAACTTGCCTGCATCATGTTCTGCTGTTGACTGAGATAACTGTAGAACTGGAAGTATTGTACGGCCGACCACGAATCAGTTCTCTCGTCGAATGTCGACGCACCCTGCGTTTTCCCCTTCTCCTTTAACTTGAGCCTTTTCCTCATTACATCCTTGGAATGGACAAGGGTGCATCGGCCTTACCAGAAAATTGAGTAAATCCTTCGAGGTAGGGAACGATATAATGTAAGATTCCTTGTTGTCATCCTGACCTGACTTCGCAGGGTAAACTAATGCTGACTTTTCAAAGCAGCGGTGACATTCAGAGGAGTCGTTCAACTTGACCTCGTAAATCTGTTGGATCCCTCTACAACGCGTAAAGACAGTCGCAGGAATTCTTACTTCATGAAGGAAAGCACCAATCCATCTTCTACTTTAACGAGAAGTGACAAACCACTATCAATAGTTTCACATTTAAAAGGTGCCTCAGAAGCTCTGCGAAGATCCACCCCGGCATATTGAGGCGTCATTTCTCACACTAAACTGTGCGTTCATAGAGTGCACACTTTTTCTTCAAAATGACTCAAACAATTCAGTGCATCTATCAGACTGGTTAAGATCCGATGGAAAACAAAGTAATTATTATATCTTGTTTACTTTTATATGTCTTACTGCAAGATACACCTGTTTATGACCGTCTTCTTCCTATCTCAGCGATATTTTCGGAATAGCTCGCAAAAAACAGCTCATAAAATCCAGAGGTAGAATATTCCGGACTTAGCGTTCACAGTCGAATCCGCCGATTCTAAAATAGCAGAGCGTATTTCTCCAAAGAAAGTTCGTGGCATCTCAGTGACTGAAATCTGCAGGAATATATGCACAAATATAAATCTAAGGATTAGTGGGTGGCAAGCAGTACGATACGCGCCTATTAGCATAGGCATAAAGCTAAGAACGAATGTCGCATGCAGGGAAGACATAGCAAACAGTAGTTGCAGGACAAAACTACGCCAACGACAAGAGAAGCTGTGCTTCAGCCGAAGATTCGTGTGGCGGCGTTTTGGGGTAACTTGATATAGAACTGTTTCGGGCTTATTTGACTTCATTCAGCTAAGCACAAGCTTAACCACCAGCTGGGAACGGAAGCGAGAACATGCGCACACACACATGGTGCAGATGCTCTACCACTGAGAGGATACAATATAGTTAATGAGCACTTCACCGAACCGAAATACATTAATGCCCCACAACCTGCCATTCACCATAACAGCAGACAGGGTATATATTCTCTCACGAATGGGAGCACACCGATCTGATTGTCTTCCTGGGGTAAACAAACTTGGTATGGCCAATTCCTGAGTGTATATATACCCTGAAAGTGAATGGCACGAGTTGAGGCACTGATTAATTTCGGTTGGGTGAATTTATACGAGTTTAGGCTAAGATGGTTAATCCTAACAGCTGCGATCTTCCAGGCCCGCTTCCTTGGGAAATGGGAGGAGTCTTGGGAAGGTCAGAGTAGCAGGAACAATATATTGCTTAAAGAATAGTTAGGGGGAAAGCTGCCACTCAGTCTGGCATAGCTTTCAGTCACGAGAGAGCGCGGCGCTGTCGCGTCCGTCCCTCGGGGGACGGAATCACAAGTCCCCGTCAGTGCAGGAATAGACCGAGGACCACAGAGCGCTTCAGGAAGCTGATTGGCTAGACCTTTATCGAGTGTGTGTGTGCACCTCAGCCGCCTGAGGGCAAAGTTTGCGCCTCGCACGCGGACGGGGGCCGAGCGACTGCGTCGAGT